GTGGGGGTAAGGGGGAAAGATCAACCAAAGGACTTATATGCAAGCATATAGGCCTAACCAATGGACATGGACAACGGGGGGGTGAGGGCATGAGCGGGGGTGGGGGGGGTGGGGGGTAGAGGGTAACGTGGGGACAAGGACACATATGTAATATCTTAATCAATAAAAAATATATTTTAAAAAAAAAAAAAAAGAGACAAAATGGTACCATACAAAACTCTCCTGGAACATTCTGTAGACAAATACAGTACAGAATACATCTTATATTACATTCAGTCTCTGCATACTGCTCAACCACCAGGTATCTTGGGATTTCTCAAGAGCTGACTTAATGAAGCTCCCAAAGTGATACCTATTGCAGTCAAATGCCAATTTAGGATAATGTGGAAATAGGTCGAGTTACTTCCCCTTTGGGTTTACTTTTTAAATGTAAAAACAGAGGAACAAATTATTTGCATACGTGAGCAGTTTAATGTCCTTCCAAATTTATGTTAGGACTATGCATATTTGGAAGAGGTACACTGAGAAAAGCCTGATGCCAAAATATATAAACCCTCAGAAAAGTAACTAATTTTTATAAAATCAACCACTTAATATAATGTTTATGACAATTGTTGCATATTTTTTAAGGGTAATCTTGAAAAAATGTAATAAATCAAACCTGCATGTAAGTAAGAATGAGGTCAATATTAACACAGAATGATGTCAAAAGAAGCAACTACTTTTTCTACTTTCTAAATGAGTTAAGAATGTTTGACTGTACTTGACCAAGCTATTCCAATACGGAATAATAAGAACAGTTCTGCCCAGTGCATAGCTCAGTGATTAAGCATTGACCTATGAACGGGGAGGTCGTGGTTCAATTCCCAGCCAGGGCACATGCCCTGGTGAGGGCTGGATCCCCAGTGTGGGGTGTGCAGGAGGCAGCCAATCAATGATACTCTATCATCATTGATGTTTCTAGCTCTCTCTCCCTCTCCCTTCCTCTGTGATATCAATAAAAATATATATTTTTTAAAAACCAATTCTTATTTTTCATTTAAAAAACCTCTGCAATTTTATTTTCCTTCAAAGACGAAGAAAGTGCCAAAACCGGTTTGGCTCAGTGGATAGAGCGTCGGCTTGTGGACTGAAAGGTCCCAGGTTCGATTCCGGTCAAGGGCATGTACCTGGGTTGCGGGCACATCCCCAGTAGGGGATGTGCAGGAGGCAGCTGATCGATGTTTCTCTCTCATCGATGTTTCTGGCTCTCTATCTCTCTCCCTTCCTCTCTGTAAAAAATCAATAAAATATATATTTAAAAAAATAAAAAAAATAAAAAAGATGAAGAAAGTATTCTTCCTTTATAGATGGGGGAAATAAAGCAAAAAATTCAAATTAGGCAAGAATTTTCAGATACTTTGTATCTAGGTTTTAGAAAAAAAAATCTGAATGGAAACATGTCCTGATTTAAAGTGAAGCTATGTGTTTACCATCCAATTCTTTTGAGCAATGGTCTTGCAGATTATTAGCATAGAGGCCTGGTGCACGAAATTTGTGCACTGGAGAGGGGTTCCTCAGCCCGGCCTGTGGCCTCTCGCATTCTGGGACCACTCAGGGGATGTCCGCCTGCTGGAGGGATCGGGCCTAAGCTGGCAGTCAGACATCCCTCCCGCAGTCCAGAGCTCTCGCAGTCCCGGACCCCTCGCTCCATACAACCCACCTGCAGCGGAGGCGGGAGAGGCTTCCACCACCACCACTGAGCTCGCCAGCTGTGAGCCTGGCTTCTGGCTGAACGGCGTTCCAAGTGCACTGACCACCAGGGGGCAGCTCCTGCATTGAGCATCTGCCCCCTAGTGATCAGTACGCATCATAGTGACGGGTCATTCCGCCAGTCGTTCCACCATTTAGTCGATTTGCATATTAGTGTTTTATTATATAGGATATTAAACTGATCTAGAAATGCATAAACTCTTACTTAAGCTTTTTAATCAAAGCTTACTTTGAGTGCATGTTGGTCACAAAGATCACTGATAAAGTAGGTGCTTCCTGTATCTAACCCAGTTTATATCTACCACCTGATTTTATAAGAAGTTTATTTCATGGAAATAAGTAAATATCTCCCAGTTGAAAATTTTGAAAAATATTGTTGAACTATGAACTTAACATCATGCACATAAAAATGTAAGGAATAATCATGATCCAAACAATATTTAGTGTCACCTATAGGTTCAATAGCCTATGACATAAGCTGCCCTTTCAAAGATTTAAAAAGCTAAGCACTGCCCCAAAATAAGAGTTAAGAGCTAAGAAAATCCTGTAATACCCATAAGATCTAGACAGATGGCAAGGATTCAATTGTTAGCAGAATTATTTTTCCAACTATTTATAGAAATTTAATTTCTAATATACACCACACTGTTGCCCAGTCCACTTTGAAAGATGTCTGGAAAATCAAACACAATTACTTCTGAACTTCCATAGAAAAGAACAAAGATTAAAAAATAAGAAGCCACAGCATGATAAAATTCCCTGAGACTACACAAATTCTGAACCTGTAGCAATCCAGATGTTTGGAATTAACGTCTGTCTCTGCAGCATGTCACCTAAGTACAAGCACTGTAATACTAGTACTTATACAGACATTCTAAGGAGACAGTACTCTTACCCAATATAGCACGGACAGAATTGTAAAGTGCTACACAAAATGTAAGGAAATGATGTAACCAACCCAATACCAAAATAATTTTCCCCCATGGTGGTGATCACTTGTTCTCTCTGGCTCACCCAGAATCTCCCGGAACCAACCCTGCCAAGAGAACTGGAATAAAGATGAAGGTTTAGGGCTCTGGAACAGAGCCAAACTGTGGGCTGCTGGAGGAGTACATCCATAACTTCAGTCTCAACTGTGCCAAGAAAGCACAAACCGCACTTTGAAGTAATAATCTTGAGATCTTTGAGAATGTTCTGAACTTACACTTCTCCCTAAATCACACTGTACCAACAATGAAGGTACATGAGCAAGCTTGTACTTCATTGGATCTATTTAGATGAGGGCTCAGGATATAATGACAATCAAAGCTCCATAAATTATCTTAAAAGGCATTTGTATAACCAACACCTTCTTAGAAACAATATTTAATCAGATAACAATACAAGCGTAAATAATAATCTCACATATAAAGTTTGTTAGGGGTAAGTTAGATCTCACTATACACACACACAAACACACACACACAGCCTCCCTTATAGGTAATCTAAACACAAAACAACCAGTTTTTTGGCTTAGAAGAGATGCACTATCATTGGCAATGTTGTCTTTCCTTTCCTTTCTTTTTTTTTAGCTAATATGTTTAATAAATTAGCCCAGCTGGTGTGGTTCAGTGATTGGGCATAGACCTATGAACCAGGAGGTCACGGTTTGATTCCAGTGAGGGAATATGCCCAGGGTTGGGGGCTCAATCCCCAGTGTGGGGCGTGCAGGAGCCAGCCGATCAATGATTCTTTCTTATCATTGTTCTCTCTCTCCCTCTCCCTCTCTGAAATCAATAAAAATATATTATTAATAAATAAATTGCCGAAACTGGTTTGGCTCAGTGGATAGAGCGTCGACTTGTGGACTGAAGGGTCCCGGGTTCGATTCCGGTCAAGGCCATGTACCTGGGTTGCGGGCACATCCCCAGTAGGAGATGTGCAGGAGGCAGCTGATTGATGTTTCTCTCTCATCAGTGTTTCTAGCTCTCTATCCCTCTCCCTTCCTCTCTGTAAAAAATCAATAAAATATATAAAATAAATAAATAAATAAATAAATAAATAATTTCCCAAAAGATCAATTTCTATTTTCAAAAAACATTTCAGTCACCAGAAATGAGAAACATTTCATCTAAATATGCACTACAGCCCTAGCCAGTTTGGCTCAGTGGATAGAGCACTGGCCCACAGACTAAAGCAGCAGTCACCAACCCATGGTCCGCGAGGTCCAAAAGGTTGGCAACCACTGGACTAAAGGGTCCCAGGTTCAACTCCGGCCATGGGCACGTACCTCAGTGTCTCTCTTACATCAATGTTTTTCTCTCTGTCTCCCCCTCCCTTCCACTCTCTATAAATATCAATGGAACCGTGCCCGGCTAGCTCAGTCGGTAGAGCATGAGACTCTTAAAAATCAATGGAAAAATATCCCCAGGTGAGGATTAACAAAAAATAATCCTATATAATAAAAGTGTAATATGCAAATCGACCAAATGGCAGAACAACCAGTCAGTGGGGAGCGGGGCCAGCGAGCAGGGGGTGCCAGGCCCGCCAAGGCACTTGCCAGCAGGCAGAGGGAGGGGACGGCAATGAGGGGTGAGGGGGGAGCGGTGGTGACTAGCCATGGCGGAAGGGTAATTGGGGAGCCTGCCAGGTCACCTCCTGTAGAGGGAGGCCACCAGTCCGGGCACAGCGGGGTGATGGGGGCGGCGCTGGGCCGATCCCGCAGAGAATGGCCGGGCGGAGGCCACAGAGGGGTGATGGGGGTGGCGCCATCCCCTGATCTTGATCAGCCCACCAGGTCACCTCCCGCAGAGGGAGGCCAGACTACGGCTTAGACCTGCTCCACACGGGGAGTGGGCCTAAGCTGTCAGTAGGACATCCCCTAAGGACTGGTGCAGGCTGGGCTCCCCTCCAGTGCACGAATTTTCATGCAGCAGGCCTCTAGTAATCTATAATAATAAAAGCATAATATACTCATTAGACCAAACAGCCAAAAGACCTTCCAGACATCCTTCCAGATGACCTTCCGGATGACCTTCCAGGCAAAGCCAGAGCTGTGAGGGCTGAGGCAGCCACCATGGCTGCGAGGGCTGAACCCCTTGCACAAATTTCATGCATTGAGCCTCTAGTGATAATAATAATAATAATAATAATAACAACAACAATAATAAAAATGCACTACACCTCCCAATCATCCCTAATTGACATTCCAGATACTAGGCTATACCACAGCGAGAGAATGTGGGCCTTGGGACCCACAGATTACTTACTTGTTGATAAAGGGTTCAATGAGTTTTGATCTGGCAGACACATGATTTTTTGGAGGACTAAGAAAAGAACCTAATAAAGAAAAGAAGCAGAGTATTATATATAGTCAAGTAGACAAAGCCTGAAATTCAGGCGAAAATATATTTAAATCAATAGTATGGGTCAGCAAGGGTAAAAAGTACTCATATGAGCAAGTACCATACCACAGGTACAAGTCAATGGTTCTTCCTTGTGTACTCTCCATCTGCTCCAACCCAATCTCCTCCGACTCCATCCCCTCCCATTTCTAACTGTGTGAGTGGATCCCAGGGAACTAGTAGACAGGTAAGATCCACTCTAGACCATTGTGTTTGACAGAAACATGTACAGTGAATACCTAGGTAATTTGTCATGGAGATGAAACACAGTCCTGTGATATAAGCATCATAGCCTGCCTCATGGAGCTGTTCAGAAGCTGTGTCATAACTTGGAAAACCTTCTGCACTTTCTAAAGAAAAAAAAGAAAAAACAGTTTTCCCAAGGACATCACAAATCATGAAGACTGGTAAGTATATTGCCCTACCAAATCCAAATTGTATTTAGATGTGCTATAGAAATATCCTAAAAAAGCATTTAAAAAACTTTTTTTAACTTTATTTTTCAATTACAGTTTACATTCATATTATTTTTATCAGTCTCAGGTGTACAACACAGTGGTTAGACAACCGTATACTTTACAAAGTATTTCTCCTGATATTTCAGTGCCCACCTGGCACCATACATAGTTATTACATTATTGACTATTCCCTATGCTATAGTTTACATTCCTATGACTGATTTCTAACTACCAACTTGTACTCCTTAATACCTTCACATTTTTACCCAATCCTCCATGCCCCACCCCTCTGGCAACCATTTGTCTGTTCTCTGTTTCTAGGAGTCTGTTTCTGTTTTGTTTGTTCGTTTATATTATTCTTTAGATTCCACATATAAATGAAATCATATGGTATCTGTCTTTCTCTGACTGACTTATTTCATTTAGCATAATACTCCCTAGGTTCATCCGTGCTATCACAAATGGTAAGATTTCATTCTTTTTTATGGCTGAGTAATATTTCATCATATACTATACATGTACCACAGATTTTTATCCACTCATCTATTGGTGGGAACTTGGATTGCTTCCATATCTTGGTTATTGTAAATAACACTTGCAATGAACACAGAGGTGCATATATTCTTTCTGGTTGGTGTTTCAGGATTCTTAGGATATATATATACCCAGAAGTGGAATTGCTGGGTCATAAGACAGTTCCATTTTTAATTTTTTGAGGACTCTCCACATTGTTTTCCATAGCAACTGCACCAATCTGCATTCCTATCAATAGTGCACGAGGGTTCCCTTTTCTCCACATCCTTGCCAACACTTGTTTGCTGACTTATTGCTGACAGCCATTCTGACAGCTGTGAAATGATATCTCATTGTGGATTTAATTTTTATTTCTCTGATGATTAGTAACCTTGAGCATCTTTTCATATGTCTATTGACTATTTGTATGTCCTCTTTGGAGAAGTGTCTATTCAGATCCTTTGTCCATTTTTAATGGAATTATTCATTTTTTGGTACTGAGTTGTATGAATTCTCTATAAACATTAGATATCATATCTATCATTGGTAAATATTTTCTCCCATTCCATGGGTTGTCTTTTTGTTTTATTGATGGTTTCTTTTACTGCGCAAACCCTTTCAGTTTAATGTAGTCTCATTTTTTTATTTTGTTTCCCTTGTCTGAGAAAACATATCAAAACAAGTATTGCTAAGAGAAATGTCAGAGGTTTTACTGCCTATGTTTTCTTCTAGGAGTTCTAGGTTTCAAGTCTTACATTCAAATTTTTAATGTATTTTGAGTTTATTCTTGTACACGGTATAAGAAGGCGGTCTAGTTTCATTTTTTTGCATATACCTGTCCAATTTTCCCAACACCAGTTATTAAAACAGTGTCTTTACCCCATTGTATGTTCTTGCCTCCTTTGTCAAATATAAATGACCTTATAGGCATGTGTTTCTTTCTGGGCTCTCTATTCTGTTCCATTGATCTATATGTCTGTTTTTATGCCAGTACCAACCTGTTTTGATTACTATAGCCTTGTAACATAGTTTGATATCCAGTAAGCACTCCCCAACTTTGTTCATCTTTCTCAAGATTGCTGGGGCTACTCAAGGTCTTTTGTGGTTCCATATAAACTTTTGGATTATTTTTTCTAGTTCTGTAAAATACACCGTTGATATTTTGATAGGAATTGCAGTGAATCTACAATTTCTTAATTTATCTACACATAAGCCCTTATGAGATAACAGACTCATTGAAAATGAGGGCTTTTGTCTAGACTAGAGCAATCCTCAGTTATGTTATCAAAGAGAGTCACAGGCCTCTCCATTGCATAGCGGTCAGTGCTATTTACAATCATGCCTCACTTTATGACAATGATTCCTCTTCTGATTTCTCTCTACCGTCACAAAGAGGAGTGTCTACTCTTAGAGACAATGGTAGCATTGGGACACAACAGGAATTTCAGAATAATGACTTAAGCATGGACTCTGGAGCCCCACTGTGTTTAAGTTTGAATCTGTGCTCACCACTTATTTGCTATATGATCTTGGGCTTCGCCTCTGGTCCTACATTTTGGGAGAATGAAGATAATAATCAAAATCCCCCTTTTTTGGTGAGTATCTAAAGAGCTAACTAAGTAAAGATCTTATATAGTGCTTGGTACAAGGTAAACACTCACTAATTATTATCTGTTAATACCGTAGATAATCCTCCCAAAAGCAAGACTCCAATCAATACTGACAGCTCAATTCAATATTGCCCTTTATTATGTTGCCAAGCTTACAGATCTAAAGATGAAAACACAACTAACTCCAAAAAATGGCTCAGAACTTTCTGTAATGCAGCCCTTGAAACATGGGGCCACTTCATAGTATAGACCATTTTATAACATAATTCTTTTGTCACATGGATATACATAGATGCTGAGAGGATATCATCTGAGAAGAGTGACCTACCTGCTTTAGAGTAAATTCTCTACCAGACACCAGAATATTATATGGAAATAATATGATAAAACTATGACTCATAATTATTTCCTAGAACCATTCAGAAAATGAATATCAAAAAGGTTACAATAGGAGAGAAACCAAGATGGCGGCATAGGTAAACACCGGAAATTGCTGCCTTGCACAACCACTTCAAAAATACAACTAAAAGATAAAACGGACATCATCCAGAACCACAGGAAGGCTGGCTGAGTGGAAATTCTACAACTAGAAGGAAAAGAGAAGAGCACACTGAGACTCAGAGGAGGTGCGGAAGTAAAGTGCAGAGGTACGGAGGCGCACGTGGAAAGGGCTGGCAACTGAGGACACAGTTGTCTTTTTCAATCGGGAGGGAGTCACAAGCTCCCGACTGCTCTGAACTCCAGTTCTAGGCGAGTCTCTGGGGACCCAGACTCATACGGGGAGAAACTGGACTGTCTGGCAGCGGGCGGAACTCGAGGGCAGCTTTCTCTCAGAGGTGCTTGCAGCAATTACTAGGACACTGAGACGCGGGGCCTCTTAGGGTAGGACTGAGGATCTGCCATAGCTGTTTGCTCCACCCTGTTGATTCCCTGAGACCCTGCCCTACCCAAGCTGTGTGCAGAGGCTTCTGCATATGAAAGGCCTGGCCCTTTGCAATCTGAAAATTACCTAACAAACTGCAGCTGGGTCAGAGAGACCCAGAACTTCCAAAAGAAGGCCCAAGGCCCCACAGCAGCTTGCACTGCCTCACAGCTGGGCCTCATCTGGGCACCTCCAAATCCCAAACAAAGAAGAGGAAACTGCAGATCTCTCCATAGCTCCTGCTGGGTAGCCTCAGGCAGAGGCTAAATTAGCACCTCCTTAGAGATCCAAGAGCCAGTGTACCCAGTGGTCAGAGTGGGACCATCCAGATTACAACTCCTCAGATCCATAAGGGACACACTCAGAGGGCAGACTCAGTGAGCACCAAAGCCCCACTGAAGCAAGTCTTGCCCCATAAGGGTGTCTTCAGCACAGAAGTTCTCCCATAGTAGCCACAGCTGATTCTCACAGCCAATTGGCCTGGAGGTCAATTCTTCCAAGTGATTCTCCCTACAACAATCAAGGCTTAACTACAACAAGACTGTGCACAAAGCCCACAAAGGGGTGCACCAATAGTGTCCACCTCAGGTAATTGGGGAGGCTGAGCCACTGGGCCCTATAGGACACCTAACACACAAAGCCACTCTATCAACACAGGGAAGCAGCCAAAATGCAGAGACAAAGAAACAGATCACAAATGACAGAAATGGAGGAAACCAAACTACTGGATATAGAGTTCAAAACCACGGTTATAAGGTTTTTCAAGAATTTTCTAGAACCCGCCAATAACTTTAGTGAGACTCTCAAGAAATCTAGTGAGACCCTCGAGGATATAAACAAGGACCAACTAGAAATTAAGCATACACTGACTGAAATAAAGAATATTATACAGAGATCCAACAGCAGACCAGAGGATCACAAGAATCAAGTCAAAGATTTGAAATACGAAGAAGCAAAAATCACCCAACCGGAAAAAGAAAAAAGAATCCAAAAATATGAAGATAGTGTGAGGAGCCTCTGGGACAACTTCAAGCATACCAATATCTGAATTATGGGGGTGCCAGAAAAAGAGAGAGAGCAAGATATTGAAACCTATTTGAAGAAATAATGACAGAAAACTCCCCCTACCTGATGAAAGAAATAGACTTACAAGTCCAGGAAGCGCAGAGAACCCCAAACAAAAGGAATCCAAAGAGGACCACAACAAGACACATCATAATTAAAATGCCAAGAGCAAAAGACAAAGAGAGAATCTTAAAAGCAGCAAGAGAAAAAAAGTCAGTTACCTACAAGGGAGTACCCATAGGACTGTCAGCTGATTTCTCAACAGAAACTATGCAGACCAGAAGGGAGTGGCAAGAAATATTCAAAGTGATGAATAGCAAGAACCTACAACCTAGATTACTTTACCCAGCAAAGCTATCATTCAGAATTGAAGGTCAGATAAAGAGCTTCACAGACAAGAAAAAGCTAAAGGAGTTCATCACCACCAAACCAGTATTATATGAAATGTTGAAAGGTATTCTTTAAGAAGAGGAAGAAGGAGAAAAAGGTAAAGATACAAATTATGAACAACAAATACACATCTATCAACAAGTAAATCAAAAATTCAAGTGAATAAATAATCTGATGAACAGAATAAACTTGTGAATAGAATACAATCAGGGGCATAGAAAGGGAGTGGACTATTTTCGGGGGGGAAGGGTTTGTGGGGGGTGCGGTAAGAGACTGGACAAAAATCATACACCTATGGTTGAGGACAGTGTGGGGGGGGGGGGGGGGTAAGGGCAGAGGGTGGGGTGAGAACCGGGTGGAGGGGAGCTATAGGGGGAAAAAAGAGGAACAACTGTAATAATCTGAACAATAAATATTTAATTTAAAAAATAAAATAAAATAAATAAAATAAAATGGTATTGAAACCATCATATGAAAAACAGGAAAAAAAAAGTTACAACAAAATTAAAAGCATGAAGGGAAATTATCAATGAAAAGGCTGTAACTAGTTTTACATCAATACAATTCTGTATAAACAAAAATTTTTAACCTCTGTATTAAACATTAAGACTTTAAGTTGAAAAAATAATAATATGCCGTAACCCGTTTGGCTCAGTGGATAGAGCATCAGCCTGCGGCCTGAAAGGTCCCAGGTTTGATTCTGGTGAAGGGCATGTACCTTGGTTGCAGTCACATCCCCAGTAGGGGGTGTGCAGGAGGTGGCTGATCGATGTTTCTCTCGCATCGATATTTCTAACTCTCTATCCCTCTCCCTTCCTCTCTGTAAAAAATCAATAAAAATATTTAAAAAATAATAACAATATTAGCCCAGCCAGTGTGGCTCAATGGTTGAGCCTCAATCCATGAACCAAAGGGTCACCAGTTCAATTCCTAGTCAGGGCACATGCCCAGGTTGTGGGCTTGATCTCCAGTAGGGGGAGTAAAGGAGGCAGCCAACAGATGTTTCTCATTGATGTTTCTATCTCTCTATCCCTCTCTCTTCCTCTTCCTCTAAAATCAATAAAAATATATATTTTTTAAATCTTTTATAACACAATAGCGAACTAATTAATAGCCTCTACTCTACCATCAGCTGAAACACAGATTTCCAAAATCATTTCCATTATATTGCTACAGAAAAACATCAGGTTTCCTTCCCCTCACCCACCCCTTTGTTTTTTCCTAAAGATTTTTTTATTGACTTTTAGAGGGGGTGGGAGGGAGAGGGAGAAAGAGAAAGAATCATAGATGTGAGAGCAAAATACTGACGGGCTGCCTTCTGCACCCTCCTTAGTGGGGATTAAGCCTGCAATCCAGGCATGTGCCCTGACTGGGAGTCCAACCAGCAACCTTTCGGTGCACCAGACAACCAAATGAGCCACACACGCCTTTTCTTAACTCCTTTTCTGAACTATTACCCAGAAAGGAAAGCAAATAACTGTATTCTTGGCTACTTTACTACCTGTCATTGTCTATTTCTGAACCCTTGGTCCTATTACCAATGTCTTCAGAATTTAGAGATTACAGCTAATGGGAGACTAATTACAGTATCAGCAGCACAATTAGGCAAACAGGAACCAAGGAAGTGACACCTGGAAGGTTCACCTACCTGGGTTGGGGCCATAGCCAGGATGGCAAAACATCTCTGGCCTGAGAAATATTCCTCCCTACTCCACTCCAAAGCTACCTCTGAAGGAGGAAGGGATGGAAAGGACTCTCTTTTCTCATCTGTAAACCTTGGGCTTTTCTGAAACAAAAAGGATATTTTCATTCTAGTCCTGACAATTAATCACCTATTCTTTGTCTCTGCTTAAACAATGCACCATAGAAAGGACACATCATTTGGGGAGAATTCCAAGCACTAGGAAATAAAAGCCCTGAAGGTTTAATTGCTAAACCTCTCAAAGAACAGACTACCCAAATTCATGCACATAAAACAGATGTAAGATTAGAAGATTACTTTTACTGAAGAAGCATGAATTCAACACAGGACATAAGCAAGTTAACTTAGCCAAAATCTATAAATGTACAATGTAGTTTCTAGAGCAGTTTCACCTTTCTTCTACAATATAAGTTAATACATAATTATCACAACAAGTTTTGGATTTTCATTTTATATTTTGTATTCTTACCAACTTTAGGAGGGTTAAAAGGTGTCTCTTTTAACCGCTTTTCCAATTCTGCAAGGGATGTGTTATTAATGATATCCTGCAAACCAGTAAGCAGAGAATTACAAGCCTTCATCATCTCAGTACAATATATATTAAAGAGATACTGCCCCCTTGTGTTCTTTAAAGAAACACAAGCGTGGAGTCATCGTTTATTCAATGTGAAAGAAAACCAGCAAGTTTAATTTTCAGCATATAGAAGGTTTAGTCATATGAAAGAGTTTAAACAGATGTGCTAAATATTTACAGACCTTGGGCCAGAAAGCTATATTTGTTCTTATACTGTGCTGACATTCATTTCACTCAGCTGTATAAAGTCACTTCACAAAGTAGTAAATGATTGCACCTTTACCTGAATTTTCTTGATTAGAACATATGTAAAATAAGGAAAATAAAGGAAGAAGTGTGTGCCTGTGTAGAAGTGTGTGCCTGTGTAACCTATTCAAAAATACATTATATATCTTTTTTTTTTTTTGGAATAGTTGACACACTTTATTGAGATAAAATGTGCAAAAAAATCTGATTAATACTTAAATGTATTAAATTCATTTTACATAGGCTGATATCATTCCCTTTACATCATATATCTTAATGTTAAAAACTTACATTCAAAAAGAATAAAGGGGGGGAAATACAATTCCACCACCCAAAGATAACAGCTATTCACATTTTGATATATTTATTTCTAGTCTTTTGCCAATTCTTTTTTTCTTTTACGTTCTTCTCTTTTTTCTTTTTTGGAGATGGATTTTAACAATAACATTTAAATAGTCCAGAATTCCAAAGCTCTCAGTAGCAATTTTGAGAATTTCAAATATTGTTCAAATTTTTTAAATACCTTAAAAGGTTGTGTGCTGGCCATCAATTTAGTATCCAAGAGCCTAAAAACAAAAGAATTTTTAATAAGGTAAACAAAATGTATATCAATGTTCAAAATGTATTTTACTCAAATAAATAGCCTAGTGTCTTAAAAGTGGGCAGGGAAATTAAGCACATTAGGCATTGTGAGCCTGGCGCTGGCATTCCTGCTAGGTTAGACTGGGAACTTGGTCTCCTTACCCAGGAACTTCATCAAGAGGCTGTGGGAGAGTCCACACTCTGCCATACATAGGGCACAAGTTCTGGATTTGCATGTACCCTGAGAGGGTGTGGGCTACATCAACCTCAAGGAGAAGTCAAATATCCTCATATGTTTTTACATGGTTCAAATACTGCTACAGGTTTAACATTGCCAAATTGTTACTACCTACCACCACTACCCAGTGGTGTACACTATAAATTCTTGGAGGGTCAAAATCTGCATTTGGTAGACTTATACTATTGTAGTTATCTCTTACTACTCTGTTTCAGTGAATGGAATAATAAAAAACAGAGAGAGACTAATATGAAAACTGTTTCTTTTCACATAAGTGTGAACACTAGATAATAGGACAGAAATATCCTGGCTATAAGAGAAACTGCTTTTTTGCCTCTCCTGTCCCTCTTCAAACAGGTCTTCAAATGCAGAGGCTTGCTCTGTAGGCTCCACATGACCGATATGTGATCTATTAGACATGTGACATATCAGAATTAGCATGCAATATTAATTGTGGAAAACACAGGTAAAGGCACGGACTTAAAATTGAGGGGAAAAACTCTAGGTAGATAGTTCTTGACAGAGTACAGAATATTCTCAACTGGACAGTTGACAATATGCAAGTATATATTCAACTATATCCAATATTCAACTGAATACTCTCAACTAGACACTTCACTGTGACAAGGTACATCCAACATACAGGAAAGATAAAAGCCAACTCAAGAAAACTTCACCAATTCTTCAGACATCAAGACATGGGATGAGACCTAGCCAGTTTGGCTCAGTGAATAGAACACCGGCCTGCAGAATGAAGGGTCCCGGGTTCAATTCTGGTCAAGGGCACATGCTCGGGTTGTAGGCTTTATCCCCAGTAGGGGACATGCAGGAGGCAGCCAATCAATGATTCTCTCTCATCATTGATGTTTCTATCTCTCTCTCTCCCTCTCCTTTCCTCTATGAAATCAATAAAAATATCTTTTTTTAAAAAAAAGACATGGGATGAGGAAAAAAATGGAATTGCTAATTTCACTCAGTTCAAATTCTAGTATTAACAGATAACAAAACCAATCATCTATAATAAGAAAAGGGTAATATCCTAATTAGACCAGACAGCGAAACGACCTTCCAGACGAAGCCGGGGCTGGGAGGGCTGAGGCAAGTCGCCACCGCAAGGGCCAAGGCAAGCTGCCGCGGCTGCGAGGGCAGAGCCCTTTGCACAAATTTTGTGCATCAGGCCTCTAGTCAATTATAAAAGCAAACCATTACAAACTTGGAGCTATTAAATAAACGATTTCCCAGCTTATATGAAGTGGATTGTAATCATGATCTAATGGATTCAAAAAATTACTATACACCTATTTGTATTACATATGCCATGATGACTATTTTAAATGAAAGACAAATCTGGAAAGGAAGCTTACTTGGGGAAAACAGAAGTTGTGATCTCCTTAAATTCATTTAAGTCCTAAAAAACAAGAAAGTGGACTTGTTACACTTTCACTGTTACACTCATAGTTTTAAAAACATACATAAATATTTCTAGTTCCATAGGTCTCTTCTTAAACTAACTATTATACCTCATACAGGCCCTTTAAAGCTAAATTGCCAGACCTGTTTCTAGTTGACAATAACTTTTTAAATATCTTCATTATTTGCTCAATGACTGGGAATCATATAGCCTGATACGAAACCTTTGCATAACCAAAACAGACAAATATAAGTATTTTATGACTGAAATAGGAGGGGGGGACATAGGTTACTATTATATAAAGAAAACTTTCAGCAATAACTCTATTACACAAATTCATCAATATAGAGAGACTAAAATTTTATTTTAAAAAATGGTTTATACAGGAAATGAATACTGTAAACTAGATTATTCTTTTATTGGGAATACCTTTGAAATGTTAGTTAAAATGACCACTAAAGACCAACCGGCATGCCTCAGTGGTTGAATATCAATCTATGAACCAGGAGGTCACAGTTCTATTCCTGTTCAGGGCACATGCCCTGGTTGTGGGCTCGATCCCCAGGAGGGGGCATGCAGGAGGCAGGCAATCAATGATTCTCTCTCATCATTGATGTTTCTACCTCTCCCTCTTTCCCTCTCCCTTCCTCTCTGAAATCAATAAAAAAATATAGAGAAACCAAGATGGCAGCATAGGTAAACACCGGAGATTGCTGCCTCGCACAACCACTTCAAAAATACAACTAAAAGACGGAATGAACATCATCCAGAACCACAGGAAGGCTGGCTGAGTGGAAATTCTACAACTAGAAGGAAAGAGAAAAGCATACCGAGACTCAGAGGAGGTGCAGAGGTGCATGCGGAGAGGGCTGGCGGCTGAGGTCACGATTGTCTTTTTCAATCGGGAGGGAGTCTCAGGCTCTGAGCTCCAGTTCCGGGAGAGTCTCTGGGGACCGAGACTCATATGGGAGAAACGGGACTGTCTGGCGTCAGTCTGAACTCGAGGGCAGCTTTCTCTCAGAGGCACACGCAGCGATTGCCGGGGCCTCTGAGGACAGGACTGAGAGCAGCCATACTGCTTGCTCCGCCCGCCCTGTTGATACCCTGGGAGCTGCCCCGCCCAAGCTGTGCATGGAGGCTTTGGCATATGAAAGGCCCGGCCCTTTCTGAAAATTACTTAACAAACTGCAGCTGCCCCAAGGCCCCTGGGCAACTTGCATTGTTTTACAGCTGGCTTCTGCTGGGTTAGCCTCAGGCAGAGGCTAGATTAGCACTTCCTTAGATCCAAGAGCCAGTGTACCCAGTGGTCAGAGTGGGACCATCAATTAAAATTCTGCAGATCCATAAGGGACACACTCAGAGGGCAGACTCAGTGAGCACCAAAGCCCCACTGAAGCAAGTCTTGCCCCATAAGGGTGTCTTCAGCACAGCAGTTCTCCCACGGTAGCCACAGCTGATTCTCACAGCCAATTGGCCTGGAGGTCAAATCCTCCCAGTGTTACCTACAACAATCAAGGCTTAAATACAACAAGACTGTGCACAAAGACCACAAGGGGGTGCACCAAGGGTGTCTACCTCAGGTAATTGGGGAGGCTGAGCCACCGGGCCCTATAGGACACTTAGCAAAGAAAGCACCTCTATTGACACAGCAAAGCATAAAAAATGCCGAGACAAAGAAACAGGACACAAATGACAGAAATGGAAAGCAAACTACTGGATATAGAGTTCAAAACCACACTTTTGAGGTTTTTCAAGAATTTTCTAGAACCCGCCAATAAACTTAATGAGACCCTCAAGAAATCTAGTGAGACCCTTGATGTTATGATAAAGGACCAACTAGAAATTAAGCATACACTGACTGAAATAAAGAATATTATACAGACTCCCAACAGCAGACCAGAGGATCACAAGAATCAAGTCAAAGATTTGAAATACGAAGAAGCAAAAAACACCCAACCGGAAAAGCAAAATGAAAAAAGAATCCAAAAATACGAAGATAGTGTAAGCTTCAAGCGTACCAACATCCGAATTATAGGGGTGCCAGAAAAAGAGAGAGAGCAAGATATTGAAAACCCATTTGAAGAAATAATGACAGAAAACTTCCCCCACCTGGTGAAAGACATAGACTTACAAGTCCAGGAAGCGCAGAGTACCCCAAACAAAAGGAATCCAAAGAGGACCACACCAAGATACATCATAATAAAATGCCAAGAGCAAAAGACAAAGAGAGACTCTTAAAAGCAGCAAGAGAAAAACAGTTCCCTACAAGGGAGTACCCATAGGACTGTCAGCTGATTTCTCAACAGAAACTTTGCAGGCCAGAAGGGAGTGGCAATAAATATTCAAAGTGATGAATGCCAAGAACCTACAACCAAGATTACTTTATCCAGCAAAGCTATCATTCAGAATTGAAGGTCAGATAAAGAGCTTCACAGATAAGAAAAAGCTAAAGGAGTTCATCACCACCAAACCAGTATTATATGAAATGTTAAAAGGTATCCTTTAAGAAGAGGAAGAAGGAGAAAAAGGTAAAGATACAAATTATGAACAACAAATATACATTTATCAACAAGTGAATCTAAAAATCAAGTGAATAAATAATCTGATGAACAGAATGAACTGGTGATTATAATAGAATCAGGGACATAGAAAGAGAATGGACTGACTATTCTTGGGGGGAAAAGGGGTGTGGGGGATGCGCAAAGAGACTGGACAAAAATCGTGCACCTATGGATGAGGACAGTGGGTGGGGAGTGAGGGCGGAGGGTGGGGTGGGAACTGGGAGGAGGGGAGCTATAGGGGGAAAAAAGAGGAACAAATGTAATAATCTGAACAATAAAGTTCATATATATATATATATATATATATATATATATATATATAAAATAAAAATTACCATTAGAACACACACTTTCCAATATACACACAATTCCTGTTTTAGCTACTCAGAAAATTGCTAACATGGCACCAATAGCAAGTACCTACATTAGACAATTCATTTCCCGAGTTTATTTTGATCAGGAAGTCTAAAGCTGAATGAGACTGCTCTAATTTTAAATTAAATCATTTATATGCATAATTGCCTCAATAGACTGACAGTCATACTCCTGACCCTTTGTAACTACACTTCTCTTCAGCCATTCCCAATGAGCTCATCAAACCTGTAAATACAGATTGTATGTAGCTCCTTTGTAAAATTTACCAGCTTTCAAATGGCTATCATTAAATTAGTGGGCAATACATGAACAAGGGGTTTCAATGCTAACTCAAACAAAAATGCACTGAGGACTATTTAAACTCTCTCAATACCATTACAAAGCTTGACAAGCAAGAAAAATTTAGAATTATGGCTACTTCCAAGGCCAGCAATAGCAAAGTTCTAAACCAGCGCCTTCTAAAAGGTCATATAGAAGTACCATGAAGATTAAGAAGAGACTTTCCCTTAAAAGGTAGCTCCAAAATAAGGATTTTTTAGTTACTTTTAAATGCATATTTTGGTACCAGAAGTTCTACCATTTTACATAGGTTTTCTCATTTATATCACTGCTTCCAAAGATAGATGGAAGAAAATGACTTTCTCCTCTGACAATGATAGAACATAAGTTAAGTAACTTACTCCGGTTACCTTAGTAATAATGCAAGGGATAAAACCACTTATCCTAATCCACCGCCTATTTTGCAACAGATCATGTGGCTCTTTCTACTAAAATGTGATTCAAACATAGTTTCATTCAAGGTAACATTTATTAAGAGCTTACCTACAAAATGCTATGCTAGGCATTTATTTTGTCTGTTTGTTATGCTAGGCATTTAAACAAAGACAATAACAAGGTTATACTCCTTGTCCAAGACACTAATCACCTAACAGGAGAAGGGGGTTAAGCTGTAAAGACAAAATTCATGCACCATAACAGGCACACAGTTCTGTGGGAGGTCAGAAAAAGGAAAGATCACCTATTGGGCAAGGCAGCAGGCAGGGAAAACTTCCTGGAGGAGGCATAAGCTGGACCATGGTAAGATAGGTAAAGTTGAATACAGCAAGCATTGAGAAAGGCTAGAGAAAATTCAAGTTGGAGGAAATTATATTCCGAAACCACAAACATACAAAGCACTTGTCAGGGAACAAATGAGCCATTCTGGCTTGGATTAAGGAGAATAACAAGTGGCTAGACTATGCGAGAAGGTTAGGTCAAATCATAGAAAGCTTAATATGCCAAGCTAAAAAGAATCAACTGTGCCGAAACCGGTCTGGCTCAGTGGATAGAGCGTCGGCCTGCGGACTGAAAGGTCCCAGGTTCGATTCCGGTCAAGGGCATGTACCTGGGTTGCGGGCACATCCCCAGTAGGAGATGTGCAGGAGGCAGCTGATCAATGTTTCTCGCTCATCGATGTTTCTCGCTCATCGATGTTTCTAACTCTCTATCTCTCTCCCTTCCTCTCTGCAAAAAATCAATAAAATATATTTAAAAAAAAAAAAAAGAATCAACTGTATAGAGAAACAAAGAATGTGGGATTAGTTCAGAATTTTAAGCAGGGTCAGTGATGTGAACAAAGACATACATTATCAGAAGATTATAAAACTGGCACAGTGATGCCGAAACCGGTTTGGCTCGGTGGATAGAGTGTCGGCCTGCGGACTGAAGGGTCCCAGGTTCGATTCCTGTCAAGGGCATGTACCTGGGTTGCGGGCACATCCCCAGTGGGAGATGTGCAGGAGGCAGCTGATCGATGTTTCTCTCTCATCGGTGTTTCTAACTCTCTACCTCTCTCCCTTCCTCTCTGTAAAAAATCAATAAAATATATTTAAAAAAATAAAAATAAAAAATAAAAATAAAATAAAATAAAACTGGCACAGTGGGAAGGTACTCATTTGTTCAATCTATATTCAATGCCTCTAATGTGCCAAACTCTGCTTGGTATCCAAAACACCTATAAATACAGTATTAAATACACTTTCCTCACTGATAACTTCATTGCTTTAAAGGTCAAAAAGTCAC